AGCAAGAATGTAATTAAGGGTGTGGTTGTAAAAAGCACTATATAAGAAGCAAGGCAATTTCAGCTCTCTCTCTCTGGCTTACTGATCCCTAATTACTTGATGGATTGATGACTGCGTTATTGCTGGAAAGGGGAGAGAAGGAGGAGTGTTGATATTTCTCAACGGAGAGAAAATAAAGATTGGACTGATTTATTGTAAGTGTACTGACATTGGCTACTCAACACGGATTTTGCAAATAGAATATCCCCGACAAGACTTGACTGAAATTGATATATGACTAATGGACCGTTTATTTGACTATGCTATAATTCTTAAATGGAATAAACTATATTTTTGATAGCACAAGCGTATCTGTATTTTTACTGCGTGTTAACTAGAAAACTTATCTCACACATTTACCTGTCTTCCTATCTGACTTCGCTGCACGTTCTGTTTAGTTTGTTTTCCTTAACACCCGTTGGGGAATCCAGGCTTAACAACAGCCACTATTTATTCCATCATTTTATATGAGATATTCCAAATTTTGTTTTAAAATTTGTATTATACTTTCATCCAATGGTTATGTATGTCTATATTATAATTTATATCAATCTATTAAACTTCTATTACAAAATATCAATCTATAAAAATCTATTACATTACCATGTCTTTTTGTCCAACCATTGATAAAACAAATCCCATATCATATAAAATTGTTCTCTAACTTCAAATGTCAATTTACTCATTTCAGCACAGTCCATAATTTTCTTAATAACTTCCTCCTGCATAGGTATTTTGCCCTCCCTCCCTCTCTGATATGTTTGATGATACAAGCTCTTTATTCAGACTGAATTAAAAATATTTCTCTGAGATGCTATGTGTACAATAAATGAGTGCAGATCTTCTATGAAAAGAATTTGGTTATGAATATTATTCCCAATGTCTGATTCATAGAAATATAGAACATATTCAAGAACCTAGGATGAAAAAATGGTGAACATGTCACATAATCCAGGTAAAGTTTTCCTGTGATGAAATTGCTTCTCGCTAGTTGTGGAATCTAGAGTTGAAAACCCATATCTTAGAGTTGCTAAGTTTGAAAAACACTGGTTTAGAACGATATGGAACATTCTGAAGTAATTTTTAGGGAAAGTCATGAAGTGATGTCAGAGAAATAGGTTCAGTATTGCACTGTCCTCTTAGAAAATAAGCCTGCTGATACCATTTTTGTATTTTATTTTTGTATTGTCCTTTTAAAAGAAAAACAGCTTGAGAAATAAACCATGGTCACTCCATAAATAGAGTAGTATACATGGAAATGTATGTTCCCTGATTTATAGCTACATCAGGTGGTATAATTCACTAATACAATGATTTAATCTGATCTAAACTTTTTTTTTTAGTGACCAACTACTACCACCACTTTATAATAATGAAATGTTTAGAAGAAAATTGAATCCATATAATGCAAATGATTCTGATTCAGGTAACTTGACAAAGTTAATATTTATGTCCTGTTTCTTTTTCTGGGTAGGATTGGATACTATTGTGGTTCGTACAAATTGTTAAGATTGTGTGGTTTTATTTGGGTGTGTTCTATGCAGGTGTGGGATTCAAATTTTTAACAACCAGTTCTATGGGCGTGGTTTAGGTGGTGGGCATGGCTTGGTCATGTGATTGGGTAGGCATGGCTTGGTGGTCATGTTATTGGCTGGGTGTAGCCAACTCAATATCATTCACATCAAGGCACGCATCTCCTCGTCTGGCCTCTCATGACTGTGGGGATGCTGCAACAGTCGTAAGAGTGAAAAATCGGTCATAAGTCACTTTTTTTCAGTGCCATTGTAACTTTGAATAGTCACTCCACACAAGCAAAGTACCAGCAAAGGAGGGGAAAAAAACTCCAGTAACATTTCTGAGACAAGAAGTCTAGTCCTGCCAAGAATGTAATAAGTGTTAATGGACAGGCAGTTTCTGTAAGCAATACCAGAATGTTTCCTTCCTGCCTTCCTTACAGGATTAGGCCAGTAATTTCTTCTAACAACTGGTTCTCCGAACTGCTTAGAATGTTAATCGGTTCTAGAGAATAGGTGCGAACTGGTAGAATCCCACCCCTGGGTCTATGCATTATGCTTACTATTATATGAAGACCAAGCAAATATGGTCTATTCCCATGATGGCAAACCTATGGCATGCGTGCCAGATGTGGCATGCAGAGTCCTCTCTGGGCATGCAGTCCCCAGCCCAGATCCAATTGGGTTTCTCCATCGTGTTTCTCAATCAATTCCAACTTCTCCCGAAAGAAAAAAGATCTTGTGAAGTTGGAATTGATTGAGCTAACTTTTTCACTCATGCACTTCACAGTGGGGGAGATGAGGTCCTATCCTCCTGAAGCCCAATATGATGTGGAGCCACAATGCAACTCATCGTCAGTTTGGCAAAAGAAAAAGAAAAGCAGTTTCTTTTCCTGGAGTGCTACATGTGTTGCAATGCCCTGCTTCCACACGGGCCAGCTGAGCTTTGACATGCTGCTCCTGGGCTCCTCGGCCTATGGACATCAGATTCCCACCACCCAGCATCAGTTCAGGGAGACAGAAACAGAGAGAGGGAGAGAGGGAGAGAAAGAGAGAGAGAAAAAAAACATGTGGGAAGAGGGAGGGAGGGAAAGAGAAATTATATTACAAAAGTTTTTCTTTTTTATTGTTGCTAAACGTAATGTTTCAAAAGCAGAAAAAAGTTGCCCCAAAGGAGTCTTTAAGAGCTGAATTCCTAGAGGCAACGGTTTCCTCTGCCTTTTGCGTTCCCACCCCGCACTGAAGCAATCTGCTCTTACTGGCCAGAGGTGGGGCTCCATGCTGCCACCTCCCAGCCAGAGGGCCACGTTTGTTTGCTTGCTGGTCCCCTCCAAGGAGGGAGCTATGCTCAGGCTGCCCGGGCCCCGCCACTGGGGGGGAGAGAGGGAGGAGGAGGGGGGCTCCCCGAAAGGATCCAGGTTGGAGTTGCCTTGTTTTGTGTAGATCTTTAATGCTTGGCCTTGCTTGCCAGCCTCCCCTCCCCCTCCCCAGCCCAAGTGGTTGGATTCACATGACATGTGAAGCTGGACAGGAGAGCACGGATAAATAGATAGATAGGACAGAGAGAGAGATAAAGAGGGAGGGAGGAAAAGAGAAAGAAAGAGGGAGGGAAAGAGAAAAGGGGGGAAGAGAGAGATGGAGGGAAAGAGAAAGACGGGAGAAAGGGGGAAGGAGGGGGAGGGAAAGAGAAATGATATTAAAAAGTTTTTTTTTATTGTTGCTAAATGTAATATTTCAAAAGCAGAAAAAAATGAAGGGGCATAAAAGTGCATTAATCACATTTTTCTTAGAACAATTAGCTGAACTCTGCGTTTATCATTATTTTAGGCAGTAAAACCTCATTCAGGTTAAATTGCTGTGTTGCCACTTTGTGATAAATAAGTGGGTTTTGGGTTGTAGTTTCGGCACTTGGTTTCTAAAAGGTTCGCCATCACTGGTCTATTCCATGGGTTCTCACATTATTGGTTCTGATCCTGAGCAAATTGTAAGCAAAGTTGTGGGATGTTGCAGTTTTTAAACAAAGATATGAACGCTGAACTTAGACCTTTGAGTATTAGTAAACCTATGAATGATTTTCCATCTGCTCCCCTTTCTTAACAGAGGCTTAAGGGTTTTATAAACTATCATGCTGCATTTTTAAAACTATACTTATAGAATCTTATTTTGAAATAAATAACTTGATTCATGCTTATCTATTTTACAAATAATTGAATTCATTTATTAGAATACAAACTATACAGACTGCAACCTCTCAATTGAGTTGTTTCCCCCCCCTCCAAATTGGCTGCTTTGAAACTTGTCATAGAGCCTCCTTGGAGGTTAAAGTGCTCTGATGTTATTCTGTCCTTGTTCTGAGACCTAATGTCAATTTTGTATCAGATAATTTGTTTGCATAATGTTTTCCCTGGTTGTCGTATCTAAAATCCAGAAAGGCATTGCTGTCAGAGGATGGCATATAGAATATTAGACAAAGAACATGTGAAAATGCCTCTAATTTGGTATGTTACATTTTTGGACTCTATACTGATGCCTTCGATATACTTATGGGCAAGAAGATCAAAATACATTTGTTGCATGTTGTGGTTCTTATTAGCATAATTGTTCTTTTGGAGGTTTTTTGCTTGTGAGAACCTGCTTCAGGTTGGGGTGGCTGCCTATATGCCAGTGTAGGTCGGCCAATGAGTAGTGTCATGATACAGCATTGGGTTGTAGCTTATTAATAGTATGTTTAAATAGCTTGTACTGAGAGCTGTATGTGACAATCAGTGATGATCTGTTGTTCTGTTGATTTGATTTTTTTGATATATGTATACAGGTAGTCCTCAACTTAGGATCACAGTTGTGCTCAAGTTTATGTTGCTAAGTGAAACATTTCTTAACTGAGTTTTGTCCCATTTTACGACCCTTTTTGCCATTGCTATTAAGTGAATCACTGCAGTTGTTAAGTTAGCAACATAGTTGTTAAATGAATCTGGCTTTCCCATTGACTTTGCTTGTCAGAAAGTCGCAAAAGGTAATCACATAACCCTGGGACACTGCGACCAATAACAAATATGAACCAGTTCATAAGTCACTTTTTTCAGTGCCATTGTAATTTTGAACAGTCACTAAATAAGCTATTGTAAGTCGAGGACTACCTGTAGTTTGGATGGGTAGTTCAATTCATAACCATTCGGTAGATAAATTGAGGCTTGATGATTGGGTGAAAATTGAAATTGAAAAGTTCTGTTGGAATTTGTTGATGGATTATTTTCTGTGGGTCCAGTTGAAAAAATGAATGTAATCCATGAATCTCAAGGAAGTGAGCAAATGTTGCTCTAGTTAGCCATTAAGATTTTGACATAGTATGGAGCTATGTGTGCAAGTTGAAGGAGTTATGGATGAATCCTGAAGTCTAGTAGCAAAGGTTTGCTGTGTTAGTAATGGGGTTCATAATGGCTTGAAAAGCATGCTTGTCGGAGAAATTGTTATATTGCAGTATCCTTAGTGGGTGAAATGGGAGATTGTTAGGGAGATTGCTGTTGGATTTCCATCTCATAAAGTCTCTCTATGAGGCAGATGTGCAGTTTTTAAATATATGTATATACATAGGATGTCTTTTATACAGTGTCTAACGTAACTAGAAATGTTGGTGGCTTAAAAAACAGATTCCATGAATCCTGATATTCTGATGTTTGAGACAATGGAATGACCCAGGTTGCCTGCCTTGTATATTTTGAGAAGTGGCAAAATTTGCCAAACTGGGACTTGAGGTATTTTATCAGCTCTAGTATCTGATGAAATAAGCTATAATGCACATAAAACATTGGTTTTTCATAAAATTTGTCTGAAAATATACCTTTTTGTATTTTTTGCTATTTAATATTAAGACAAGCTTAAGGACTATTGGGAAATATTTGTTAAATTTCAAATAAATCAAATATATAAATACTATTATATGACAATGTGGTGTTGAATCTTAAATTTGGCAAAATTAGATTTGTATTACTTTTTACCTACAAGGTTAATGGAATGATTGAGCTATTAAGATAGATTAAACTCCTTTACATGTCATAAGGTTAAAATAGAAAATTGTATATATAGTGTGAAGGAAAGAAACATTGAAAAGAATATTGACTGTAAACCTTACAATTAAAACAATATGTAATGCATGTTGCATAAGAATGACTTAACAAATTCTTAACCAATTCCAAAATGTTCCCAAAAAATACTTAACAAATTCCAAAATGTTCAGAAGTCTATCTCCAAATTGTTGGAAGTGCAAAGATGTATCAGGCACATTTTTTCACATGTGGTAGATTTGCAATGCTGCAAAAAAAGTATTGGAGACTGATTCAGACGTGGAATGGGAGAGTGTATTCCATTTAAGCTGGAATTTTTTCTCCTAGGAAAAATATCAGAAGGATATAGGAATGATTTAATTTATCTAATAGTACATGTGTTGATGGCAGCTAGAATAATATATACGTAATACTGGAAGAAGGAAAGCATACCACCAGAAACAGAGATAATAAGGAAAATTATGGCATGTGCAGAATCAGATAGATTAACCCTAGAATTAAAAAACAAGGGGGAATCTGAGTACTATGAAACGTGGAATAAATTCTATCTGTGGTTGCATAGAAGAAGGCAAGGTCGGAACATAAGTAGCTATGATGATTAGAATAATTAGTAAACAATGTATCAAATGAAGTAAATGGTAAAGTAAAATGTATATATGTATAACAATTGTGATGCCAGAACGGCTGCACCGTGTTGTATTCTTATAATAAAATAAAATAAATAAATAGGAAAAAAAAGAATGACTTAATAAATATTTGTCTTTATATATATCTGTACATACACAAACACACATTGTGTGTATATATGTATATGTATGTATATATGTATGTATGTATGTATGTATGTATGTATGTATGTATACACAGATACCTATTCATATTTTTATACATTTCCTTTCTAATAGTATTGCCTGCAAACACATACAATCTTCGACGGTCCAAAAGAATACGTATTAAACCATTGGAATATTGGCGAGGAGAACGTGTTTATTATAAGATGGACACTTCAGGTATGTAATTCAGGGGCTTTGAATGGAGAAGTTGTGGATAAAACACTAATTTTTTAGACACGCAAACTAAAAAAATCTAAAAGATGGGCACGCGCTTACTTTGAACCTAAGTGTTCTGCTTCAACTAAATGTATACTGCACAGAAATTCAAGCTCTCTAAATTTTTGCTAAGGACATTCTTCTGAAACTCATATTTCTAAATGCAAAGGTCCAACATTGCCTGCATGCGCAAGCTGCTTGGGAAATATATGTATTTATACAGATATACTAGATAATCAGGCTGAGACAGAATTATTGGGCTAGCTCAAACAGCTGTTTTTTAATGCCTAAAATGGGTCTAGAATTCAGTCTCCTGGTTTCAACACCTTAACCACTACAACAAACTATTAAAAATTGGATTAGAATGATTGAGATTGTTTTGTATTTTTAATACCAAAAATTGGAATCCAGAATTGTCTGAATAACAATGAAATATCATGAGACCTTTTACTTAAAGCACAAAGATTTTTAGTCCTGATTCTATTTCAATTAAGAAATGGAATTGTTCTCCTTAGAGCTGCTCGGATCATCCAGAGAGTGGGAGGTGCTTCAGTCTGTGCTGTTGTAGGCTGAGCTTAATTACTGAGGAACGCTCCTCCTTCCATCACGTGGCTCCATTACAGCGTTCCCCAGTTTATGCTCAGCCTTGTGAGAGTTAGGCTGGTTTTTGTACAGCTCCTTGGCCGATTCAGGATCTCTTCTATCCCTTGAAGGTTTGATCTAATATTCTTTTCCTCTAGCCTCTGCGCAATTGGGTTTTATCTATAGACTCAGGGGAGCGCGTTCATTGCCCCCAGGGGGAAAAAAGTGGGCGTCTTAGCAGCGCTCTGGCGCTACCCCCCCCAGATTTCTCTTCTTGAGCTCTTATTTCCTGCCGCTTTCCACGCCGCCCTCGTTAGCGGCTTGAATTCAGCGCTCCAAAGCGCCGCTGGTTTTCCCCCCAGCTACGAACGCCGATCGTCCCAGGAAGGGGTGAATTTTTCCTCGTTGCCCCTCTCGGCATTCTAGGCTTGCCGGAGGGGCCTAATTCCGTCCTGAACAGCCCCGACATTCAGATCAGTAGGCGGCCGCCATTTTGGGCACCGCCTCATGGTCGGGCGCCATTTTATTTCCTCCGGCCTCATTTCTCGGCTGCGAGTGTTTTCTAGCTCGCCAAAACAGACCTTACCAGCCCGTTCAGAGCCTCTCATTGTAATTGGAAACCTTCTAAAAGTATTGTTGGCAATTCCGCAGCTGCGCTCAGGGCGAAGCAATAGCAGCACCTCCCCCCTCCCAGTTATCGTATGGGAGTTAAAGCTGCTGGAGGCCTTATCGTTCCAACCTGGTGCAATTGGCCTCAGGCGTTCATTTGACTAATTGGATAAATAAGCACCTGGGTTGATACCCTTATTGGACCAAGATCCAGATTTAATCATCAAATTACATATTTTTATATTAAAAAAAAGAGAGAGAGACAACAAATAAATATATATACAAGAATATACACATATGTATATATGTAAATAAATAAATAAAATAAATATATCTATTATTATTATTATTATTATTATTATTATTATTATTATTATTATTATTATTATTATTATTATTATTTACACCTACTATATCATAGTACATCAAATTCCAAAAGGGGGTGCGGACCAGCTGAAAAGGACACCCGGCCTTTGCTGCAGGCCGAACCCTAGGCGAGCCAACCGCCTCTAGTATCCTTACATACGATCATTACTTCTTAAAATGGCAGACGATAATTCCTCTAAAGGCCCTTCCTCGAAGGCCAAATCTAAGTCTTACCATTTACGCAGACAGGCTAAGGAAACTTCCAAGGCCTCTCAAAGAGACGCCTTAAGGCGTCATAAGGCATTGGAGAAGGAATTTGACAGGCTATCCAGGGGGTCTCTCTTGGTGCCTCCAGCCCTCCCACCCACCACTCCTTCTACCTCTACTCACCCCCCCTCCTCCAGATTTCTCTTCCCACTCCAGGCACAGCTCACCCCAGGGGCATCAGGCCCCCGGATCAACGACCAGATGGACACCCGAAGCCACAACTACTCCTACGGCTGCTGGTCTGCGCCAAGAGGAGCCTGCCATAGTCGAGATTCCAGAACAAATGAGGTCATGGATGGAGCTGGCTATCCGCCAGGGGATTGCGGAAGGTCTCCAACAGATGTCCAGACCCGGCTTCTTCCCAATGGCTCCCGAGTCTCCTGAGTCTCTATCGGTCAGGTCCCTGCCTAGATCGGATCCTACCCACGGTCAGGTACCTTCACAGAGGGACAGCCCTCTTCCAGAAAGGGAACAGGAGGAGGAGGAAGGGGGCCTGGATCAATTCAGGGAGGAGGAAGAATTCGAACTGGGGTCATCACATTACAGTGAACCCCTATCGGAGACAGAGCCCATGGAGGGGGAGATGTCCGAGGATGAGGGCCTCACCCCCGACCAACCCACCTTTGTGGGCTTGTTCAAGCTGCACCTATTTAAATCGCTTCTCTTTAAGGCCAAAAACATCTCCGGCCTGTACACACAGTCTCCCTCTGTCCTCCCTTCCTCGGCGGAGGGCCCAGAGGATTCCATTTTCAAGCAGCCCGTGGTGGAAGCTGATGTCATTCCTGCTCCACCCATTTTCTCCGATCTGGTATCAAAACAGCTGGCTTCCACAGGGGCCCTCCCTGCCCCATCCAGCCAGGACAAGAGGTTTTTCAACCTCGACTCAGACTTCTCCAACCTACTTAATACCCTCGAGGTTGACGAGCCCATTGTTGGCTTAGCATCCTCCTCCTCCCCTAGTGATCCTCTGGAGGCTCTGAAACCCGAGGACAAGAGAGCTGAACTAGCCTTACGCCGGGCTCACCAAGCTGACGCTTGGGCCATTAGATCGGCCACGGCCGCCTCCTTTTTCACCAGGTCTTCGATCCGGTGGCTTCGCCAACTAAAACAGCATGTCCCCTCCTCCAATGCAAGGGCGCATCAGGACATCGCTAAACTCACGGCCGCGGCAGAATTCTCGGCCAACGCCACCTACCATTCGGTTAAGTTTTCCACTAGAGCCATAACCTCTCATGTTACAGCCCGCCGCCTGCTCTGGCTCAAACACTGGCAGGTGGATGTAAAAAACAAAGTCAAATTGGCCACGGCTCCCATCAAGGGAGAAAAACTATTCGGCACAGCCCTGGAACCTCTGCTAGTCGAGAGCCGAAGCAAGAAAAAATTTCTTCCCTCCCTTTTTCGGAGGTCAGAGCCCAGAGCCCCTCAGCCATTTTGGAGAGGGCCCTTTCGACCTTCCAGTCTCCCTTCCTGCCCAGGTACCCGAGACCCCCCTCCTTTCGGCCATCCCAACCCCAGGATCGAGCCGACTCGGGCGACAGGAACAGAAGGGGCGGCAGCTACAAGAGACCCTTCAGGGGATCAGGTGGGAGGCCCTTCCGGCGCCCAAGATAGATCCCATTCTTCCCCCCCCCCCATTGGCGGACGCCTCAGACATTTCGCCGACAGGGGATTCCTCTACTTCTAATGCCTGGCTCTGAGACACTATCAGGTTCGGACTCGCCCTGGAGTTTCAGGCCCCCCCCCTGACGTTTTCATGGCATCCCCCCACTCGAAGGATCCCACCACACGCAATTTGATGGATTCAGCTATTCAACATCTCTTCAACATACAGGCCATCCAACCCGTCCCACCCTCTCAATGAGGGCAGGGTTTCTACTCCCACCTGTTCGTGGTCCCCAAACCCTCAGGTGGATGGAGAGCAATCTTGGACCTAAAACGACTTAATCGTTACCTGATCCACCGCAGGTTTAAGTTGCACACCTTACAGTCCATTCTACTGGGTACCAGGCAAGGGGACTGGCTCTCTCCTATAGAGCTTTCAGAAGCGTATTTACACATCCCAATCCGGCCCTCCCATTCCAAATTCCTCAAATTCTGCTACAATCACCTCCACTTCCAACATGTGGCCCTCCCCTTTGGGTTGGCATCGGCCCCTAGAACCTTTACTAAGGTCCTCGCGGCACTAGCGGCTCACCTTAGGAACCTTTCCGTACGCCTCCACTATTACCTGGATGACATCCACATCCTGTCCCCCTCCAGTCACCAAGCAGAGAGGGACACCACAGCTACTCTCTCTGCCCTCCAGGACCATGGGTTCCTCGTAAACTGGCAAAAGAGCCAACTGTCGCCATCTACCCGGATAACCCATTTGGGGTCCGTAATTGATATGGTTAAAGGAAAGGTCTTTCTTTCCTCGGAAAGACTCCTTAGCATCCAGGAATCCGTCAAACATATCCGGTGATCAAAAAAGGTAACTCTATTAGAATTGTCTAAATTATTGGGTAAGATGGTCTCATGCATTTCCATTGTTCCCTGGGCCCGTTTACACACCAGATCCCTACAGTGGTTCCTGCTCCCATTTCAAAGAGCCGGCAGAAGCAATTCAAAATCCACGGTCAAGGTACCTCCAAGGGTCCCCACGTCTCTCCTCTGGTGGGCCAACCCCACCATCAACAAGGGTCCTTACTTCAAGGAGCCCCAACGGCTCACCCTCACCACAGACGCCAGCCTGCCCGGATGGGGCGCTCACATCCACTCGCTCACGGCTCAGGGCAGATGGTCGGAAACAGAACGGGCATGCAGTATAAACTGGTTGGAACTTCACGCCATACACCTGGCCCTACGCAGCTTCCTCCCTCGGGTACGCGGGCACCATGTCCTTATCCTCACGGACAACGTCACCGCCAAGGCTCACGTCAACAGACAGGGGGGCACACAGTCCATACGGTTGATGAGAGAAGCCGAGCGCCTCTACTGCTAGGCGGAGCGCAATCTCCTCTCCCTCAAAGCAGAGCACATCTCAGGAGTTTCAAACACTCAAGCAGACTGGTTGAGCAGGGCCACGGTGGACCAGTCCGAATGGCGCCTCCACCCGTCTCTGTTCAAGGAGGCGACCACAATCTTCTACCGGTAGTGGACCTCTTTGCATCCTAAGATTTTTTTCGAGGTACCCCTCCCACGGGGCCGAGAAATACAACGCCCTACATTGCCCCTGGCCCCCAGGGCTTCTATATGCATTCCCTCCACTAGCCCTAGTTCCCAGAGTCATCCAGAGACTGATCCACGAGAAAGCGGAACTACTTCTGGTGGCCCCCTACTGGCCCAGGCGCCCATGGTTTGCAGACCTCCGCAACCTATCGGTAGCCCCTCCCTGGAAAATCCCCCCGAACAGGATGTCCCTTTCTCAGGGCCCCTTCTACATCTGGATCCCCAATGGCTCCAGTTAGCCGTCTGGAGGTTGAGCAGAACCGCCTAAGAAATGAGAAGTTCTCTGACCAGGTTATTGGTACCATCTTAGCCGCCAGGCGGCCCTCAACTACCCGAATCTACGATGCCACTTGGAATAGTTTCTGCAAGTGGTGTCATAAATCCCAGGTCAACCCACTTTCGCCCTCCATCGTTCGGATTTTGGATTTCCTCCAAGAGGGTCTGAAGAAAGGGCTTTCCCCCAACACCTCGAGACGGCAGGTCGCAGCCCTCACAACTGTTATCGCTTGCGACAACATTGGTTCCCTTTTCCACCACCCTCCATTAGGGCATTCCTCAGAGGAGCCACTAATTTGTGTCCCCCAACCGTTCCAATACCCTACCTGGGATCTTAATAGGGTCCTTGTGTCCCTCACTAAACATCCCTTTGAGCCTCTCAGGGAATCTACCCTCCAGTTTTTAACATTCAAAGTTGTGTTCCTGGTGGCCATAACATCGGCCTGTCGAATCTCGGAGATCGCAGCCTTGTCGGTGACAAAGGACCTCTGCATCTTCCACGCCGACCGGGTGGTTCTCCGGCCCGACCCTACCTTCTTGCCCAAGGTCAACTCAGCCTTCCACAGGGCACAGGAACTCACTATCCCAATCTTTTGCCCCAAACCCTCGCGAGAGAGGGAGACCCTTTGACATACCCTGGATGTGAGACGTGCCCTCCGCATCTACATTAAGCGCACCCAGCCCTTTAGGAGGTCCGAATCCCTATTCCTTTCCTTTCAACCCAAGACATTGGGCCACAATGTATCCCCTTCAACCATCGGCCTCTGGACCAGAGCTACTATCTCTAGATCTTACCTGTCACAGGCTCTGCCAGTACCCAGCGGAATAACAGCACATTCCACCAGAAGTGCAGCCACCTCGGCAGCTTGGGCCACCCAGGCCCCAATCACTGACATTGCCGGGTTGCCACCTGGGCCTCCCCGTCTCCCTTCATTACGCATTACAAGATCGACATATTTGCCTCAGCGGAGGCCTCATTTGGCAGACGAGTTCTACAGCGGGTCCTCAAGGACCCGGAGAGGCTCCCGAACCAGACGGAGTCCCTCCCGTAGGACAGCCAAGCTTTGGTATGTCCCACTCTCTGGATGATCCGAGCAGCTCTAAGGAGAATGGGCATTGGTTCTTACCTGACACGCCATTTCTCTTCAAGATGCGAGGATCATCCAGCCCCACCCTTATCTTTCACCGTCTGGTGGGGTCTTGTTTCGGCCAATGGACCCTTAAGTCTAGTAAGATGAGAGTACGAATTTCTCTTCTCTCTCGCCTTCGCATAAACTGGGGAATGCTGTAATGGAGCCACGTGATGGAAGGAGGAGCATTCCTCAGTAATTAAGCTCAGCCTACAACAACACAGACTGAAGCACCTCCCACTCTCTGGATGATCCTCGCAACTCAAAGAGAAATGGCGTGTCAGGTAAGAACCAACGCCCATTTTCTTTTTAAATCATATTATGTAGGAATGTTTAACAGGAAGTATATGTGGTATGTATACTTAGAGTAACATCCAAGTTACTGGTGATGCGGTTAGCCTATATTTTCCCTTATGTTGTCTCTCCATAATGGCACTGTTTTATTTTAAGATAATAATCTCACAAATGTTAGTGTCTACATTTGAAAGTGTCATTATGAAATTATAGGTGAAAACAAAGTCATCATTAAGTTATAGACTTGGTACTAATTTGCTGTTGGTAACCCAGTTATTCCATAATTCCATCCCATCTTAAGTAAAACAATTTATAATTGGTATTCACAATTAATCACAATTAATCACAATTAATTTTTCTATTGCTTCAGGAGACTTAGTAAATGGTGGAATAATAGCACCTGAAGAAAGAGAACCTAGGAAACCTAAAGCGAAAGTTGTTACAAAATCTGTTCCAGAGATCGGTATGGTCATCAGAACATTATATTTGTAGATCGGGCAATCTTTCTAAATTATAAGTGGTCATTCTAGCATTCCCACAGTTGTGTCTAATCTGGCAACCAGCTCACACATAGGATGGTTGCAGCATCCCATGGACACCTGATTAGCATCACATGCTCTCATCTGCTTTATCGCAGGCATCCTAAGCCCTACTGTGCTCATGTCACACTTGCTTCTGTCACTGCCTCCTGCATCCTGTAGTAGTCACTGCAATCTGCACCACTATGGTCCTTGCACAACCTCCTCATCCTGCAGCAGCTTCTCACTTGCACCACATATGCCCCAATGAATTTTCCTCACATTGCACTCGCCCTTGTGTGCCTTCTCCCATCTTGCAACAGCCATTCCAAGCCTTGTTGTGCTCATGCTACACCTGCCCCGCATATGCCCTCCTACAACTACAGCAGCTAGCCAAATCCTCCACATTTGCACCAAACCTGTCCTCATTCACCCTCCTGAAGTAGCCCCCAAAGTCCTATTATGCTTGTGCCTGCTAGCCTGCTTGTGAGCTGCCTGGGATTCGCAACTTCCTATCATCTTCCCCACTAACTTGAAGATGAAGCTGGAGAGTTATGCTTTGTTCCTTGGCCCATTATAAATTATTATTTAAGTGTAAAAAATTAAGTGAACATATAGTTTGGCAGATGTCAAAAAAGATCATATTAGTGTAGAGGCAGACTAATTGATATGCTTTATTCAAAATATATGATTTATAAATAAATTTATCTTTTTGATTTTTGTTTAAATCTGAACTAGTAAGATTATGGCCTGTTACTTAATAGAAGTATAGAAAATCAACATAGTCTTTGCTTAGCACTTAAAGAAAGATTTGTGATTTGGACTTATAAATAACTTCCTGTCAATTTCCCCATTGACTTTGTTTTCTGGAAGCAGTGGGAACTCACAAATCGTGGCCAAGTGAAATCCTCACTTAACAACCCATCATCCTCATTTAACAAACGCAATGTGGATTGCTGAGATTGCTGCTGCTAAGCTATGTGGTCACATGACACTGCATCCTACAATTGCATCACTTAGCAATGGAAATTCTGGTCCCATTTAAGATGACCTATAACTATGTCTGCTCTTCAGCCTAACCCTCTGTATTTTGTTTTGCAGAGAATTTGCACGTTAACTCAACTTTCAAGGAATATTTTCCTCAGCCAGCTGTTGTTTTTGATAAAGCATCTAATCAACAAATTCTTCAAGGTGAGTGATATGACATAATTTTTAAAATGCTTATGATAAATATGAGATTTATTTAATGTGTGGTATGAAATATATAGATAGCAGCAATAAAGATGCATAAAAAGATGCATGATATACATAGGATATGGGCTAGATGACTTACGAGGTCCCTTCCAACTCTGATTATCTGTTATCTGATGATGTGTGGTTAATTTTGTAAGATATAAGAAATTCAAAAAAATATGTTAAGTTACAAGATACATTTTAAAATAAGTGGATTCATAAAATAAATACTTTATATATTAATATCTAGACCGAAAAGGGAGCACGTGTGCACCAAAAAGGCACTGAATGCTGAAACCTCTGCACGCGCGCACACATGCACACCAGAAACCAGAAGAGTAGTTCCTGGCGCACACATGCGTACCGGCCACCTGGTCTTCCGGTTTCTAATGCGCATGTGCACAGGAAGAGCAGTTGGCTGGCATGCATATGCGCACTGGGAGCTGCTCTTCCGGTTTCCGGTGCTCCCACGTGAGTGAAGGCCACCCTAACCAGCACCTTGTACAAATATGAGAAACAGTGCTTTATTCTGATACGAGTCATTCACAAGCTACAATCATTTTCTTACATGGATACTGATATTTCATGTTTTTTATCTAGGTCCCCTGGCTTCATCAGCATATACACCAATCATTTCCAATACTATTTGTAACACTTTTCCTGAAGGCATACCAATCTGGGCTTTGGAGATTGTCTCCCAGCTAAAAAAAAAGAAAAATATATACTTCTAGCTCATCTTATAGGTCAATATAAATAGGTAAATTTTGGCTGTAGCCAAATAACACATTTTAAATAATAACTGTCAAGTAAAAAATCTATCAAGTGTTAATATTTTTAAAAGTTCCAAAATCTATACAAATTACCCAATTACGCTGTGGTAGACAACGTTGGTGGACTTCTAGACACAAAGTGACACCATTGCAATGAGCAAACTGGACTTTCAGAAGGCAATTTATCCATCAACCGTTGTCAGTTCTCTAGTATATAACCAAATATTTATACTTAATGGCAAATTTTATGTCATTTTCATGGATTTACAAGTGTGTTTGACTCAGTCAGTACTCAAAATCAGTTTGATCAAGAGATTAAGGCACTAGACTAAAAAAGCAGGAGATCAAATCCTATCTTGGCCATGAAAGCCAGCTGGGTGACCTTGGGCCAGTCACTCACTCAGCTCAGCTTACCTCAGAATTATTGTGGAGAAAATGGGAGAAAAGTGTATTGGGTATGATCACAGTAAATGACCAATGTCATTCTTTAATCTTCATATTCTGTGAAAATAATTCCATGAAATTTGATTCCCACCCTGTTCTTACTGCTCTATTCCCATTCAGTGAGGGCTAAAACTGAGTTGTATACTAACAACCCTGTTTAAAAGGCTGTTAAGATCTGAATGATAGTTTACTTCAATAACCAATAGAGCTGTCTTGATCCTCTGTGCAGGTGATGTGCCATTCTTTTTATATCATTATTACACCTGAGAGAAGATTTGGCCTATTCTTTTTATATTATTATAATATGTGTGAGAAAATTTGGATCATTGTGATAGAGAGAACGGTCTTCACATCAACTATGTTAAATAAAATGAATTGTGTTCTCCAGAATTCTGTTTCATGCTATCATCTTGGAAAATTGATAACATTACAATAGTAGAGAATAAATCATCTTATATCAAAATTCAAATGTCAAGTCGTTTCTCTGGGACACTGAGTTGCCCTGAAGGCCAAAAAGAAAAAAAGAAAAGAAAAGAAAAAACCAAATAAGCCCTGGTGCTTATTTCAGAGGTCAAAAGAAAATAAGACTGGGTCTTCTTTTCAGGAAAACACGGTATATATGTATCCTCTTGTATTGCCTCCTTACTCACTTTGGCACAAAGTTCTACTCTTCTTTCTTATGCCAATCTACTGTCAACTTAAATAATATTCTGTACCTCAGGAGATAAGTCAACAACCAAAACTTCAATAAGCATTGCAAAATTTTGTGCAGTTATTATTGCACTACATTCAAAAATGGTACAAATTCTACAGAGTGTAATTTACCACACAGCGGACCAAAGCAGAATCGTAACCCATTTTTATATATAAAATATTCTCAACCTTGAATAGAGTATATACTCCACAGTTTTGATATTGCCTAGGTGTAGAATGTGTTTATGGCTTCTTTGTCATTATTTTATGAAAATGTAAACAGATTTTTGCCTATGAATGAATATGCAATCATGCAATATGTATTATCTAATATTTCCTTCTGTTAATATTATTTTTTCTGATTTCATAACAGAATGCGTGCATTATGGTAGATCACCTGTGTTTTTCATTAGTAATGAAATATTGTCCATTTATAAATACTTGAATACACCTTCCTTTGCTGCTGGAAAAATAATACTAAATCCATTAAAAGAAAAGGGATATCAGTATTCCCTCACAGACACATTGGTGAGTATTTTATTTCTTTTATTTCTAATTTGTATTTGCAAGGTTAATACTTAATAATACATTGCATTTTAGTCGATTATCATTCTTCCTCACAGAGTAGCAATTAACTATTTTTCTTCAAATCTTATATTAACAACACCTGTTTCTTCTCACTACTGTGGGTTAATAATTTTAATCCTTTATGTAAACAAAGCAGAATTATATATTCTTAGTTTGTCCGATGTCTTTATGCATTAATATGTTTTTTTTCTTCCATTTAGGAGGAATACTGTAAACCAGGGGTAGTCAACCTTTTTATACCTACCACCCACTTTTGTATCTCTGTTAGTAGTAAAATTTTCTCTAACTGCCCACTGGTTCCACAGTAATGGTGATTTATAAAGTAGGGGACAAAACCCTTACCACGCACCATGAAAGCTAGAACGCCCACTAGTGGGCAATAGGGACCAGGTTGACTACCACTACTCTAAACAGTTAATCTCAGGGGGAAAAATAGGTGTGCTTATGGTGTATTGATAGAATGCCCAGTTTGGGCTGAAAATAAATTTTATGATATAGACTCCTGGACTTCAGCTATTACCGTATTTGCCGGCGTATAAGACGACTGGGCGTATAAGACGAGCCCCCAACATTTCCACTCAAAATATAGAGTTTGTTATATACTCGCCGTATAAGACGACCCCCTCACTTGGAGGCATGTTTTTCAGGGCAAAAAAGTCATCTTATACACCGGCAAATACGGTAAGTTGTAACACTTGGGGTATTCTGGATATAATTCTTGATTGACACCCCCGCCCCTTTCCCCCAAACTTACAAAGCCACCAAAATGCTTTAGAGAGGCAGCTTCGCCTTTCTCAGGCTGGCACTCAATTCTTCTCCCTTTCTTTGTGACAACGTTGAGCGATCTGCTTTTTTCAGGGGAAAATAAATAAATGAAAATAAAACTGGACGAAAAACAGTCGAGTTGTTTCTTAATATCTTTCCACCTCCCCAACCAATTTGTCTCCAAGGGTGCACCACACTGATTGCGACATTAATTATTTCAGAGAGAGAGGGTGGGGGGGAGAAATCTTTACTTCCTACTGTGGCTTTTTCCTACGCATCGTTCTGGCTGCACTCAGATGGCGAGCTGGCCGGAGCAGTCTGGAGCATGTGCAGCTCACCGTTGGGGGCTGGGGGGGGGAGAGAGAAGGCCTCCTTATTTCCACGCGGGGAGGCTTGGTCGCTGGACCGTGGACGAGCGCAAAGGAGAGAGTTCTGAGTGCGAAAGGGCCGCCACTGATCAGGCACAAGAAACTGGTCCTTTTTTCCCTTGGCTTTGTGGTTGTTACTTCTTACAGGGAGGGATAATGAGATACCCATGCTGGGAGAAAGCGGAAAGAATGTCTATTTTCCTGCTCATTAACTTTCCAGAAAGCGTCGAGTTCCTACCCCGAGACTTACCAAAAGTCCAGTTCATTCATTTGCTACCTTTCTCCAACGAGATCCAGATCTGTTTCCACAACGCGCTTAGGATCTTATCTTATTATCTTATTAGCCTTGCTCGGTCCATCCAAGAGAGAAGAAGGCAGACGGTTTTGCGCTCAGGGAGAAAGGAAAGGAGCCTCTCGCTCACGCTGCACACTGCCCCCCCTCCACCCCAGCAACGCTTAGGAAAAGAGTTACACAAGCATCCTTTCCAGAAGTGAATCTGGGGGTGGCGGGGGGGGGAAGGAGGATTCGGAGCAAAGGCTGAAACCGGGAAGAGAAAACTTCCCAAAGAAAATCGCACGAGCAGCATCCCATTCCTGGGAGAAAAACAAAAAAACAAAAAACACGAACTCTTCCCGAAGCGCAAAAGCAAGGATGGCGCTTTCTCAGCTTTGAGCGGCGTCGCTGCTCTCCCACCCCCTCCACTCGTCCCCACGTGCGGCGAAGTTTCTGCCACTGGGGGGGTGGAGGGGGGTGGAAGGAGGTGAGGGATGGGGGCAAAGCCTGGAGCCTGCCGGTCCGCTCGCACAAGCGGAGTGGGTGGGGGGGAGGAGGAGGAAGAGAGACTCTGGCTGGGCTTGAAGGGGCTTTGCAAGTTGCGGAGCTCCGCCCCCGTCGCTCTTGCACCGAGTGACAACAACGTATTTGCCGGCGTATAAGACGACCCCCCCACTTGGAGGCATGTTTTTCAGGGCAAAAAAGTCATCTTATACGCCGGCAAATACGGTATTTTATTTATTTATTTTAAACAAATTTTATTAATTTTACAATTAAAAACAAATCAACAACACATATACAAATAGAAGAGCAAAAAAGAAAAGAAAAAGAAAAAAGAAAGGAGAAAAAAAGGAAAAAAGGAAAAATGAACACTTAAAAACATTCTCATTTTCGACAGTTTGTAAGATCTTTTCTCTTCTTGATTTATGCCATATACGCACACCTCATCCATATATATGTTTATATATCACTCATATAGATTTGTCCTATTCTTTTTTTACCTTATGATATAAAATCTGTCTTTGGTCTAACCATTTATACCAGCAATTCCAATTGTTATAATATATTGAAGAATCTTTATTTTTTAAGGCTAGAGTTAGTTTGTCCATTTCTGCACAATCTGAGATTTTTTGGATGATCATCTGTTCTGTAGGTATGTGAGGTAGCTTCCAACATTGAGCAAACACTAGTCTGGCTGCTGTTAATATGTGTATTGTAATGTACTTCATTTTTTTAGGTAGCTGTTTATCGAAAATCCCTAACAGGGAGGACTCTGGTTTATACTCAATCTGTTCTTTTGTTATATCTTCCAGCCAATTTCTAATTCTCTGCCAGTATTTTTGGGTTTCTTTACAGGACCACCACATATGAAAAAAGGTTCCATCTATTCTTTTACATTTCCAACATTTTGGACTCATGTTGGGGCGCATCTTCGCTAATCTCGAGGGAGGAAGGTGCCATCTGTAAAACATTTTATAAGCGTTTTCTTTATATGCTGCCGATTTTGTGATCTTATTGTTTCTACTCCAGATCTTTTCCCATTCTATTAATGTGATACTCCGTCCTACGTTCCTACTCCAGGCTATCATATTCCCTTTAACTGTCTCTTCTTCTAACTCTACTTCTAATAGATAGTTGTAAAATTTAGTTATATTTTTCTTGTCTGATCCTAGTAAAATTTTGTCTAATTGCTGGAGTTTATTGTTGATTCCGAATTCTTTTCTATCCTGTTTGTATCTACTATGAATTTGGAGATATACCCACTGATTGATTTTAAATCCCCGCTCTTGCAGCTCTTGTCGCGATTTCAAATTTCCTTGTGTATCCAATAATTCCTTATATTTAATCATTTTGGTAATGTCCAAATTGTTTGGGTGAATCATGGCCTCCATTGTCATAACCAAATCGGTACTTTTAGGTAGTGTTTTTTCCGTATTTTTTTTCCAATTGGTTAATAGTGAATCTCTAATTAAATGTCTATGGAAATATGTCTGATTAACTTTCCCTACCTCCCATAAAAAGGCATGCCACCCCCTCTGCAAATCGTGGCCTTCTAACAATAACGTTCTCTTATTGATTAAATTCATCCAATCTTTTAACCATACTAGAGAGGCTGCCGTATAATATAATTCCCAATTTGGAAGTGCCAACCCTCCCCTGCTCTTCAAATCCTGCATTGCCTTTAAATTTATTCTAGATTTTTTCCCTTGCCAAATAAATTTAACAGTTATTTTGTTAAGTTCTTCGAAAAATTTTCTGTGTAGTTTAATTGGAATCGTCTGAAATAAATACAGCACCAAATTGTTCTAGTTCGTTTAACAATTTTTGTCCTCTTTCTATTGGTTCCTCCATAAAAAAAACCATATCATCGGCAAATGCTTGCAGTTTGTATTCTTCTTTCTTAATCTTTAATCCTTTAATCTCTGGGTTTTGTCTAATTCGTGTTAATAATGTTTCTAGAGAGAATATGAAGAGCAGGGGTGAGAGTGGGCAACCTTGTCTAACTCCTTTTTCTATTTTTATTGGGCGAGTATATTCCCCGTTTATTATGATATTAGCCTGCTGTGTATCGTAAATTGTTGTTATGATGTTTTCAAATTTAGTGCCTAAATTCATATTATAAATTTTTTGAATTAGAAATTGCCAATTTAAATTATCGAATGCCTTTTCTGCATCTAGAAACATAAGTGCAGTTTGTTTTTTGGGGTAGGCTTCATAAAATTCTAAAACATCTACTACTGTTCTTAAATTATTCCTTATCTGTCTAGTCGGGAGAAATCCATTTTGGT